ATATTGGCGAAGCAAGTACAGATAAGTTTTACATAACAAAATTCTTTATACTTAGCTTATTTATATAGTTTATTCCTTATGACTAACAAATCTAATTTGTAGATTTAAAAAAAAACTAATTTCGGATTTGGCGATCAGTTCATTCATGAATTATTTAGTATAGAAGGATCGCTCGATCTTTGCTAGCATTTGGGATATTTTTAGCTAAAAAGTAATTGAGACGCATAAAGAATATAAACCTGTCACAAAAAAATATATTGGCCTACAGAAGATGAGTATAATTACACACATTCTTTTCCTCCTTGTCATGGCTTGGATATAGATAATAGACTTGAAAATATTTTCTCTGAAATCGAAGACATTATTGAATATCTTGAGATGATAAAGGATTATATACCATCTATATTATATGATGAGTTTTGCAAAAACATTGATAACCTTACAAATAATTATAAGTTCTTAGAAGATAAAATTCAGGATATATTATACGAATCACCTTCTTATGCTGAAGAATAAAAAAGCAAATAGTAAAGTCGACTTGCAATCCCTACAATAGGAAATGAAAATTCTATATCTTAAAATAAAAGTCATAAAATTCTGGTTGTTCAGTTTTTAGTTTTTTAAGATCTTCAGCACCATTTTCAAATGTATTTTTAATTATGTTTATTACTTCTGCTTTTAATTTAATATATTTAGCCTTGCGTTCTGATTCTAATACCCATAGTCTTCCTACTAGTTCATTTAATAAAATTCCTGATTCAAATTTTTCAGCTTCCAAATAATTCTCAGGAGATAATCTATTAATAAATATTTCTCTGACCTGTTTTTCACTATCACTGGTACTAGCTTTTATTTTCATATAAAAATCTATTACTGAATCATTATCTTGTTTAACCATATCTATAAACTTTCAAATTAGATATTTATTATATTAGAAAAAAAAAATTATTATAGGAAATGTTATCTTTGTCTTGGTTCATTGAGTGAGCTAGACTCGATGATTTCTATTACATTCCAAACAAGTAAGACGCACATTTCCTTTTATATGACCCAGTTTGTTATCGATTCTATCTGCTGTCCATTGATCTAGATCTCCTGCATCATCCCAGTCCTATTTCATTTCTATATTACAAGATACACATATATCTTTTTGCAAATCTTTTAACATAAGAATATAGTCAACAGATAGATTGAATTCACAGTCTTTTTTCTTATCTTGATCCATATATCCTACGAGTTTTCCAGAAATAAATGGTCTTAAGGATCGTTCAATTGCTTTCTTATTTTTTGCTTTCTCAATCTCAGGAGGTAATGGGGGACCTTCAATCCACACAAATTAATTCAAATATTCTACACGATCTACTGCAAGATATATTAGATTATCCCACGCCAAATGTTCATCAATAATCCAAACTCGTTGCAGAGCTTCAAGCGTTATTCCTTGACTAGTATGTACAGTCATAGCATACCCCAAATCCCAATCAAGTATTTTTTTCTCCATTAATATATCTGCTAAGAATTTTTTAGGAAGTGTGTTCAAAAGTAAATGTACTATATCATTTTTTACCAATTCTTGTTTATCAAATGAACCAGGGATTTCAACAAGACAGTTTTGTTTGTGTCCATCTCTTGGCTAGTAGATTAACAGAACCAGTAGATCTGGATATTTAATATGATGAAGTTCAAAGCATTTTTGCGATGCAATTTTTCAAGATAGGCGATGTGCCGATAATATGCGATCTGAGGGAGTCCATTCTTTTTTGAGACGTTCCCATTTTTCTATAGTTGGAAGAATTTCTCGAAATAATTTTGATTGTATTCGATTATTTTTGCGACACATGCTTTTTTTGAGTTCACGTAACTTGGGGCATTTTGCTCGATAATCAGTTGAAACTTCCTTGTAATAATTGGTACGCTCTTTTAACCAATTATGTGGCATTTCTCCAAAGAATGGTAGAGGTTGTGCATCGTCTCTGCAACAGATTATCTGGTATTTATGTTCTAACAAATAATTAATAAACATTTCAAGAATATGCTTAGGAACTGTACATACCTTATCCCAAATAACAACTTGTGGAAATTTCTTCTCTCCCATGCGTTCAGGTGTCCATTCTCCTATACTATTCTATTTAAAGAAACTATGCCAGGTTTGGGCTCTCACATCACGCTTATCTCAAAAATCTTTAGCTAATGTATTCATATGTGTAAAGACAATCATACTTACATTTTGATAGACTTGAATTCCATGTGTTGTTTTACCAGATCCACCTTCTCCATTAAGATATGAATTTTGATATCTTGTAATGGGATCATGAATTGAGGGTGCTGTACTATCAGGAATATCTTTGATAGATTCATAATGCCTATTCTTTGGCCAGTATACAATATCAGTAACTGGTCCATATATTTTTTCACCTTTGTCACGCCATTGACCAGGTTGAATTTCTCAGATTTCTTGTTCTTCTGGTTGATATGAAAGAGCATAGGAGTCTGGTCTATAAAACCATTCTGCAAAGCAAAATC